AGATGGTAGAAGAATGCATCCCTATTGAGAAATTGACGCTGGAATCCAAGAACAGTGCGATTACAGCACGAGTGTCGCGCCTGTGGGATTCTTACAGATTTCACGATGAAAAAGACCTACTAAGTACAGATATGGTGCTCATTGATAAACAGGTTATTCACAATTTTAAATGTCAGTGTCTGTGTGTGTTTCACTAATTTAATTTCTTTTTCCTGTATTCACAATGTTAACTGTTAATGTGTTTGCGCTTTGTTAATTTAATTTCTTATTACTGTTGTGTGTATTAAATCGCATCTTTTATGTTTTAGGGCTCATATATCCAGGCCTCCATCAAGGGGAGTATTTCGCATTTGTTCAAAAAACGTATTGCTGAAGGAAGTGTTTACTATATTAAGAATTTCAATGTTGTTCCCAATAAGGCCCAGTATCGTGTTGTTGGAGACAACAAGCTCATGATTCAACTTTATCCAAATACATTCGTTAGATCTCTTTCAGAGGACTCCCTGGGAATACCAACATTTGCAATACCGAATCATCGGTTTGATTTACTTGATTTTGATAAGGTGGAGTCTAGAATGGGAGAAACATACATTTTAACTGGTGAGATCAGGTCTTTTACATCTTCTATGAATTGTGAATTTACCACTGGATTACACTTCTAATGTGTGGTATATATTACAGATGTGGTGGGCCAAGTATGTTGCGAGGGAGAGGTTATAAATAAGAATAGCCGTGGAAACAGTATTCCTTCCTTGATGCTTGAATTACATGATCTAAGGTTAATAGTTTTCATATTATAAGAATATGTGTTTTTAAAGCTAATAATTTTTGTATTTACCGAATTAAAAATCTGCAACGGTTAGCTATTAAATTGGATTTTGAATTTCAGAGCTGAAAAAGTGCGGGTTACACTATGGGGTGAGAGTGTTGATAACTACATGAGACAAAAATCAATGCTTGAAAATGGAATCATTGTTGGAGTTTTCACGTCAACCTTGGTCAAGCGATACATGAGTATGAGTTTTTTGTTTTTTACTAAAAAGATATGACGGCTATGCACATGGTTCGTTTAGTTGATTTGATTTTCTTCATTGCAGACAATGCTGTTTTGTCATCAACTTCAGCTACAAAGATTTATTTAGACCTTGACATTGATGAGGTTATTGCCTTAAAAAAGAAGAGCAGGTATTTAGGGTTTATATTTTCCAACCATCAAATATTAGAAATGATATCCCATAACCTTTCCAAGTGTGAATAATCGTTGCAGTTCTTCGGCAAGGGAACATATAATCCAACCGCTTATCATCGAGCAACAAGAAGAGTTGGATCGAAATGCTGTTTTAAGCAAATTGAAAACCATTGGCGAGGTTTTAGCAATTACAAAGACAGATTTTAAAGATGTAATAAGATGACATTAAATCTGTCTCATTTCTTTTCATTCATGAACCACTAATTTTGTTTCCAACTTTAAAAATATTAATCTTACACATGTACAGGGCACTCTACTATTTTGTGTTGCAACAATATATGACATCCACAACAACAATGGATGGTACTACAACTCATGTGGCTGCAAGGGAATAATTAAGGCGTACGGACGAAATTTTTGGTGCAAGAAGTGCAATAAGACAGTGAATGATGCCATTCCAAGGTAAATTTTATGCGCATGTCATGATAGAATTAGCACATGTTAACACTGTCAATCAGGTAATACACACAGTCTCACTTCAAATTCAAAACACAATAATGCATATGGCGTAGTAATGAAAGCAATTTGTTTACAAATAAACCAAAAAAAATTGTGTGTATTCGCAGATTTCGAATTGAATTAGGAGTCAAGGATGCCACAGATTGTACGAAGTTCATTGTTTTTGATGATGTTGCTGAGAAGATGATAGGACAATCTGCCCCTAGCATATATGATATGCAAGAGAAACTGGAGGAGGTATTAAGATTTGGAAATACTACTTAAGTGTTATACTTCATACGCCATATGCAAAACATTTTAGAAATGTACACATCAACTATTGCAGAATGAAGATTCGGTGGGCGAAGTACCTGCTATTATTGCAAACCTTATTGGGCAACGATGGGTTTTCCGTGTCAAGCTAACCGAATACAACAGGACTGCATATAGACAGAGTTTCACGGCAAATAAGGTTTTGGAGGAATCAAATTTGGAACCACCAAGGAATGAAGAGGTTTTTATTATAATCAGTTTATACAATACGTTTTTCCAATGTTTTTTTGATATTCTTATTCACTCTCAATCAATGTTTTAAAAACACAGCTGAATTCACCAACGGTGGAGCTGGCGCTCTGTGATGATGGACCAAGTAAAAGAAGACGTTTAAGGTTTGATCACTACAAACCAATGACTTTATACATTCAATCGTTTTAAACTCTTAAGGTCTGGAATTTGTTATTTCATTTATTACCAGATTGAGCAATGCCTCCCGAATAGAAAATGAATTATTCATTTGGTTTTTACAGTGAGGATTTTACTCAACGTGAGGGGAAAGCACTACAAGAATGAGAAGCTAAATATGGCACAACTTCCACTGCTGCTTTTGGTCTTCATATTTATATTACTGCAAATAAAGGAGTAGTTTCCCACAAAGAAGTGAATCTCCTATAGTATACGTTACTTTGTTTTGCCTCATATTGTTTTTTACATTTTCCTGAGACTACATTGGAAACTTATGTTCTGTCTTCATTATTTAATAAAAGTCAGAGTTTACTTTCAAGCTATATGCCTCGGCATTTTAACACTGTTTCTAATAACCAATCCATACTTACACAATAGTAATAATAGACACATAAACAAGCCATACAGAATGTACCATGACCTGAAAACATATAATACAAACCATGTACTGTGCATATTTCTGCAGAATACAAAGCACATACAGTAAAGGCAAGCATGACACACAGTAACTTAAAGCACAAACTGTATTTGAAACAGGTCATTAATGCTTAATGCAAGGGAATTGCAAAATCTACTAACACCAGTTTTATAAAAGTTATATTCTTGGCCATCATAAGTGCATTCATGGTGACAAAACACAAACTTGCATTTATCTTTAAGAAATATTGAATACACACACAATTCTAAGCTTCCAAGTATTTAAAACATCCCCACTGATGAAAAAGACTTGACAAATGAAAGACATCAGAACCCAAGGTAACAACATAACTATCTCACATTAAAAATAACTTAAAAGATTGTTCTAAGTACCTTCTTCTTTCACGCGGAAAACATGCTTTGTCTACATCATGAACTCACACCTCTTCAATTTAAACAATATTTATGTTCATTGCCTAAGAACTTTTCTACAGTCCTGAAGTTTATACCTTTGAATGGCGTAATGCACGGCCGTAACATTTTTTCTGTACCATCTCGAAATTTAAGTTCGTGAGATGTAAGACAAATATTGGATTTTCCACCATGACTTCAAGCTCACTATGATAAATCATAGCCTGAAACCGGTTTTCAACTTAGCACAGGTTGTGATGTTTATGGATGAAATGGAAAAAAGATGAAATTAAATACAACCATTATTTAAAATTGAGTATTTCATCCTTCATTCAATGCCATCATTTTTGACTTAAGTATGTTTTTAGCCTGCAGTTCCTGTGCCTGGCTGCCCTGCTCTAAGAAGTTTTCTGTTATTTGAAAAATACGTGATACACTAAGTCAAGATGGAGCCCATTGAAGACTACCAGTATATCACTTCCTGTCAAGACTTGGTTCACAACGTTTTAAGCGTTTCCATCCCCGGTGATGACAATTACAGCGTTTTGGACAATAGTCATTTATACTTTTCATAGGCCTGTGCAGTTTGCAATTCGTAATACCTTTTTCCTTCATAGGGCCGATTATGACTACCAGATATATTATCCTTTATGCATTTTGCTTACTATTTCTATCTGGGCAACATGTTTTATGTACTCATTCTTTCATGCTGGCCAGCCCTAAAGATTTTGAAATCTTATTTTGATGAAGATTAGGTGCTCTTCTTCAGTGATGGGTTTAGTGACAACTTACGACAGCCGGGTTGGTTTCCTCTTTCCCTTGGTTTTTAATGAACTTACACCTACTATGACAATTACATTACTACTTTTTAAATATCAGCATTCTCTTTACTCTCATTAATTTTCATTCAAACCTTCGGATATGTTGACTGTGGCTTTCTTTACGTTTACCCACGTGCATTTTGCTATTCATACGATTTTGGCGTACCTTTGGTTTTCCCCATTGGTCTCAGGAGTACTCAGGTTTGCGTAATTTGGTTCCAAGAAACTGCCACTTTCATTAACAACCTTAATCTCTAATTTCCTAGCCCTACTCATTATTAATGAGACATCCTTCACTTCTGATATCAGTGACCTACTTGTTTCGGTCCACTGCTCTTACTTATGATTGTTGTAAACTACATGCTTTAGGTTTATTATTTTTCCATATCATATGAAGAGCTACTTATACTCCAAACTTATATGCCTTCCTACACGTATATTTATTATTTTTGTTTGTGGGTCGTGTTTTCATTTCATAATGGGAACCTTAGGTTTTAAGGGAGTTTTGGATGCATTTGTTAGAAAGTATATCTATAATTGGTTTAGTTTTTGTATAAGTGGTTTTTTTTTGTATTTTGGGTTTTTATTATAAGTTATGTTGTGATTGTGACCTTGGTAATTTGTGGGTGTGTTTTGATTTAAATGAATGTTACATACCTGAGGATGCCACAGTTAGCACTACCTTTCGTTCACTTCGAATTTTGGCAGCTATAGTAGAGTACAAGAATGTTTTCCCTGTTCCACCATGGCCATATACAAAGAAGACGCCTCCCTGTCCTGTTTCAACAGCAGCGATGACAGCATTATAGGCTTTCAGTTGTTCTCCATTGAGTAGAGTCATATTCTGTGTGTGTAGGGCCTGCAACTCAGTTATGTTGTAGCTTAGTTCCTCTCGGATCATTCTATTATCTAATGAACTGATCTCACTGAAGCTAGGTTGCGGGAGGGATTGGAAGTCAGAGAGTGTTTTACCAAACCGCTGTAGTATTTTATCAAGCTCCAGGAGGCAGTATGTTTGTATTTGTGTTGGTGTAAGGTGCAGGTCTGGATGGCGGTACATTTTTCTTCTTCTGTGCAAGATATCATCTTGAAGAATGTTTTTGGTGTTCTCCCAGAACTGGTTGGGGTCTGACACCTCACAGAAAAGAAGGATTGTAACAAAAAGCTCTCGTGCTTGATTAGCCGTGGCCCATTCATTTGCTTCTTGGATAGCTTCTATCCATTCTTTTTCGTCACTTAGCAATCCAAGTGCGTAACACACTGCTTTGAAAGTTGGGTGGAGAACATTGTTTATGGTGCGTATGTCTTCATATGATGTTGGTCCTCGGGTGGAGTTAAGAAGTAATCGTAAGTAATAACGTTCGCCCGCTGTTGGGTGGACATATGCGATTCTTCCAAGGCAGTTACCTTGTTTTCTCTTTGTCCATTGTTTTACATACTTCCATTGTTGATGTTCTTCACTCCAAACCCTGACTCTTTAGTTCCACACAAACTTACTTGGGAATTCCGCGTAAGTTAGAGCACGTGCTTCAGCATCATGGCTGTTTCTTTCTAGCCACTGTGTGAACATTGTTTGTTGTGCGGTGTCATCATTCACAACCTCAGCTATGTTCTGAGTATCTTTTAGTGTTAATAGTTGTTCTCCTGGTAAATGCACATGAAGACATATGACAGCTATACTTCGCATGTGAATATCATATTGGAATATCCTCCATGTGGCCTCGCACGCTGATAGGTATCGGCAATCTTGGTACTGCTCTATTTCATCATTCTCATTTTTTTTCTTTTGCTGGCTTCCTTTGATTACCATGGTTGCTCTGTCTGGGCCTTTATTTAAGTACTTAAATAGATACTTAATTGCCTTGGACTTGTTACACCATTCAACATTTATATGAGCTTCGAATAGGAGAAGTAGGTTCCTATTGTATGGCACCACAGACCTGTTGTCTAGTTCGACTGCTCCCTTTTTCACTTTCCTGTAAAAAGTTGAAAATATGTTAGTGTAAAAGTTGTTTTGGTTGTTTGTTGTTAGTGGGTTAATTTTAGGTGAGTGTGTTTTTTTTTGTTTTTTTATTCATGTTTTTATTATTGTTATTTAATATTTTTTGGTTTTTTGTTTTTTTGTAAGGTTGTAATAATGGGGTTATAGGAGTTTTCTAATGAACAGATTGGTAGTATGTGTAATGCAGTGAATAGTGAATATTTTTATTGTTTTTTTCAAGTTTTTTTAGTTTTTTTTGAAAACATGTGTTTGTTAAATACAAATTAAAAATCTGAAACGTCATTTTAGGTTAGACAGTAGTAGTAATCAGTGGTATTTAGTTTTGTGTGTTTGATTTTTGTTGTTTGGTTATTGTATTGTAGTGTTTAGGTAAAGACAATGGTCATATTATTCTATTATGTGTTTAGTCTATGATGAGGAGATTACCTACCATTGTTTCTTCGTTGGTATACTGCGAATCCTGTCTCATCAATGGTGGTTTGGTCGTAAAATTCTTTTGGATATTTTTTGGAGCAGACATTGTCTACCATGCATGGAGAGTCCCTTCTATTTTCGCCACATGGACCATGAACCATAAACTTTGATACCAGATCATATTCTCTTGAGTTTTCATCTTCAGGAATCTCTGCGCTGATTATGCTGTTTATGAAGTATGGATCAGTGTGTGAATCTGATTTGACCAACCATACCAAGATGTGAGCATGTGGGAGGCCGCGTTTTTGGAACTCTATAGTGCCAATATCTAAAAAGTTTTGGTCAATATAAGTTTTTTTAATATGTATTTTTTTGTAGTGAGGTGGGATTGTTTTTTATGAGTGTACCTGCTTGTGTTGGCCCAAAGTGCAGTTCTTTTGTTAGTACTCGCATGAGTTGTTTCAGCTTCATGTTGAATACGCGTGAAACAATATCTGCAAGGTCTTCTGGACGTTGGCCTGGTATTGCTGATAGCATGTCTGCTATTTCCGGCCACTTTGAGTTTGCTGTGAACGTAATGAACAAATCTGGGTTACCAAATTTCCTGCATATTGCCATTGCATCCTGATAATTTTGAAACATGTATCGTGGTCCTCCAGTGAATGATGATGGCAATATTGTTCGTTTCCCCATGGATGCCCCTGTTGTGTCCCCTTTGTTGATGGCATCACACACATTTCGGTAGATTTCAGTGCGAAATATGTTTTGTTTCTTTCGTAAAAATCGAAGTCTTTCCTCCTCTATGGCAGTGTAGGAGTCTACCAAATATTGTTGGAAAAGTCTTCCTCCCTGGAGGTGTGTTGTACCTTCAGTGAGTCTTTGTTGCATGCGATAAGCATAGTATTCTCTCATGGTGACGCACGCCCGGGAGACTTGCATACGTGGAGAATCAGTATATAGGATTTTTTCATGGTACCCGTCTTCTCCATGTGGGAAAAGTAGGGGATACTGCAATGCCATCAAAGCTGGGTGTCTTTCATTAATCTCTTGAAGGCCTTTTGTTTTATGTTCTACAACTATATTTCTTCCATCTGGTGCTTGGCCAAAATCCCCTACTATTAGTGCCGCTACTTCTGATGCTGTGGGTGCATTATACTGCCTCTGTTTTGGTGTGCGCTCTGATAAGAGGTGTAGTTGTAGCTGTACATCTTCACTTTCTTTCATTCTATCTCGTGCCATTCTAAATGTTTTTGCCAAACAATTCTCCCTGTCAAGCATTGTTATTAGGTCTGAGAGAATGGTCTCATCTAGCTTGGAGTTTGGTTTGTCCTTTGTAAGTGACTTTATCCTAGAACACACTTCCTCTGTTTTGTTATCATACATATATAGCTGGAGGAACTTCCGGGGTTTCCCTGGTTGGGGATTTAGTGAACCAATTTGATGGCAGTTTTGGCCGCTGATTCTAAAGACATATGGTCCTTTGGTTTTATTGATTTCGTAATCGATTTGTGCCCCTATTGATGTGAAGGCAAGAATAGAGTTATATGCCCTTATGTTTTCACGAAAGGTAGCTGAACGTTTCCCTCCATTGTGGCTTAGAAGGTTTCTTAGATACTGAGGTGCAGTTTTCAATGCGGAGAGGGAAACCCGGCCTTCCATGCAACACAAAGAGAAAGTGGGTGGTGAGTTCTTTGCCTTGCTGTTATTGCGTTCATCTGTCCACATAATAGCATGACAGTATTGGCACTTTTCATGAGGAAAGCCCAGATTGAGATAGTCCAATTTTTGGCCTGCAATTATTAGGTGCATAAATATAGTGTTAGTATTGGATGGATTAGATAGTGCTCATAATAGAAGAGGTGTATGGTAGGATGGTGTAAAGTATTGGGTACAATGGGTTTTTTCTTGCTTAATTTTAAGGCGCCATGGGTCATGTACAGAGTAAACTAACATGCTAAGAGTATGTTTGATTTTGGAAATTTTATAAGAGAACAAAATGATATGGGTTTCTCTCATTTCGTTTGCCAAAATGGCAGGGATTTGGTCTCATGGTATTTTATTTTGTTTTCTAATTACTTAAAGTAAACATGGATTAAGTAATCCAGGGGAAAAAGAGATAGATTTTCGGTGGGAAAAGAATAGGAAATGGGTTGGTTTGTTTTACCTCATCAAAATGGGTGGGATTCAGTTTCATGATATGTTATTTCCTTTTCAAATTCCTTAAAGTAAACATAGTGTTAGCGATCCAGGGAAAAAAGAGATAGAGTGAGAGACAGTATAGATTGAAATAGGGAATCTTTAATAAGTGGCAAAATTAACCCTCATTGATGAATTAATTACAACAGATAACCAATGAAACATTCATCTACGTTTTTATGTTCATGTAATTTATAGTATACTCATGTATGTAGAGAAGTTAAAGTTCTACATTCAAATAATTTGTTCTAAATTATATCATCAAATCCTCATTTATTGAAAAGGGACCATAAATTGTGATTGGATGTTTGGAAAACAAACATTTTGATGCTGGGTTATTATGAAATACCTATGATATTTTTTAGGACCTGCCAAGTCTCCTAGTTCAGCAAGTGATAAAGTGATGCATTTTTTTTTATTTCTAATTAAGAAAGAATGTAAATATTTTAAAAATTCTATTTGTAATGGGTTCTGTAGTAATAAACTTACCTGGATTATTTGCACGCAGTGCACACTGTTGTGCTTGGGGCTGATTTCTTCTTGGGGGGGCTATTCAAATAAGAACATTGAAATGTGTAATAGGGATAGAAGAATGTTAAAGAAAGGTAGAGTTTATTATACAAGAGTAGTTACACTTGGTGTTTATACCTGCCATTCTTTGTGTGGGCAGAGTTGCTTGACCACCTGTGGTCATGTGTCTCTGTTTGCTTCTCTTATTCTGAAGAATGAGTTTCCGCCTTTTTCGTGCTTGTTGGTATATTCTTCTTGAATTTTCTGGTTCATGGCTGTTGATATTCATATTCATATAGTGTTTAAGTTTTGTGTTTGATTATGTAGTAATAATATAGTATTTATAGGAGCATGTGTAGTTCTTGCATATTGTCCTTTCATATGCTCAGAGGTGGTTTTCTAATGCATTTATTGTTTATTTAAGTATCATATTTATTATGGTAATTATGTGTGTTGTATTAAATTATCATGAATGCAATTTTTTGACAGAATGGTTATTTAAATTCCTGTGTGTAGAAATGGATGGTTAGTCATATGGATCGTAATTTATACTAATCACGGGTATTGTTTTTATTTGCATGTGTTTTAATTGAAGTGGTAATTGCATGGGTAATAGGTTTTCTTGATTTTTGGAAGACAATGATTTCTACCCGGAGTAGCAATTGCAGTTTCATACTTGACCTGGGAATTGGATTCTGAAAAGCGTTTGGAAGTTAACCGGACCATTATAATAAATAAACTGTAGGATGAAATGTGAATAGGCATTTATATTTTGAAAGATATGAACAATGCTCCCTACCCGACCAATAAGATCATGTTCCTCTTTGCATGTTCCTCATTTATAAGTTTTAACCAATCTGTACCGACTATTTGCATGTACGTGCCTCTTGGTTTAATTTATGGGCTTGCAGGTTTGTTGACCTAAAATGATATCAAACTGTCTGGTGTTCAGACACAACATTTGTTGTGGAAAAAGTCCTGTGTAAGTCCTATAACTAACCTGCTTCATCATGCAGTTTCTTCACCAAGACTGCAGTGGGTGTAAGTTTTGTAAGCCGTGTATCTTGGAAGTTACAAATCATCAAAGAATTTAAATATTGAGCATCGTGAGTGTTTTTAAGACGGATGAATTTGGAATTTCACAGCCAAATTAGTGCCAAGTTCGTATTCATCTCTTCTCTGAAACGCTGAAGTAGTCAAATTAGGATTCTATTTTTTTTATGACACGGTAACCTGAGCACGGGCTTGGTTTTCATGAAGTGGAAAAAGTGGTTTGGTGATGAGCATAGTTTTATCTTTAGGGTTAAGATGTGAAGAGAATATAGAGTTATGTCATGAAAAGGGAAGGCATTTTAATTTTGAATGTTCGGACTCCATAATTCAGGATATATGCTTGTCAAGTAGACATGAGTGAAGTCGATAAAACTTACAAGCCCCCACAATAGGTAGTCCATCCTTACGTGTTGAACAACTAACAGTGGGAATGTAACATCTGCAATATGATTGCTGAAGTTAGGTAGGTGACAGTTTCATTTGTTAAGTAAGCATAATTTTAAATTGTTAGGCATCATAGAAAGCAGCTGGTTAAAGGCCAGCCAATGTGTGTAAGGATGACCAAACGTAAGGGAAGATAGCATGTGCAATACGATCGGGTGAAGGTAGAAGACATGTTGTAGCATATACTCCGTATTACGTAAGCATAACCTTAAATTCTGATGCAACATTGACAACATGGCCTTTAACATTCTCCTATGTCACAAACCATGATCAGTAAAGAATAAAGATGATGTATATGTTTCATTAATAATCAATAGGGCACAGAAAGTATACAATAAGGTTGTGAATCAAAGTCACATTCTGTAGAAACCAAATTAAAGAAACCGTACTACTCCTCAGCCAAGGGAATAACGAAAGGTATGCGAAAATTGTAAAAACTGCCAATTAGACATGAAATACTCCGGCATTGTCATTCAAACTAATGTCATAGAACAGCATAATGTATGTGTGTAAACGTAAAGAAAGCCATTGTCAACATATTCAAAAATAGACAAAAATTGTGAAAAGTGAACATAATGATGATATTCAAAAAGTAGTAATGAAAGTGACATTGTATGTGTAAGTTCATCAAAATCCAAGGTTAATAGGAAACCAACCCGGCTGTCGTAAGGTGTGACTAAACCCATTAGCAAAGAATAGTGCTTAATCTTGATGAAAATAACATATCAAATTCTTTAGGTCAAAATAAAAGAAAGAATAGGTAAATGGGATGGAAACTGCAAAAAGTCAGGACTTGTATAAAGTTTGGACCATTGTGAAGTGAAATTCCTCATAGCCGTATTTTCCAAGTCTAATACCACCATAACCTTAGGCAGGGCGTCATGCAAAACACATGCTAAGATACTGACCTGCTTTCCCCACTCAAGCGCCTGGTCAACATCAACTCCATAGCGGCTTTCAGTGTCGGCCTCTGAATCAGTTGCAGTGCCCTCTGACATGATGGAGTAGATTAGAAGGAAAATATGAGTTTCTAAATAAATTAACACTTATAAAAATGGTAATACGTCATGTAGTATACTATACAAAATTAGACCTGTATATTGTGGGCGAAAAGATTCCATAAGCTTAATTCTTACTATTTTTTTAATTATTTCAGAGGAGGCAGTTATCAGAACATGGTAATGATATACTCATACGGTGTAAATATTATTGGATGCATGAAAAGTAAAGTAATCATTCGTAGGCACAACTGTAAACTTTAATCCATAACTTAACCCATTTTCTAAATTCAGGAATTGCAGCCCTTTTACTACCCGGTGGCCGCGCTGCACACAGCAGATTTGATATCCCTATAGAATTATTTGAGGGAAGCACATGTGGGGTCCGACAACAAACTCAATTGGCAGGCCTATTGAAAAAGTGCTCATTAATAATATGGGATGAAGCTCCAATGGCAAACAAACTAGCATTTGAAGCAGTCGACCGTACACTAAAGGATATTGTCTCCTCTGAAAATAAGGCAGCAGCCCATCTCCCATTTGGAGGTAAAACAATGCTAATGGGAGGGGACTTTCGCCAAATTTTGCCGGTGATCACAAAAGGAAAGCGTCCAGATATTGTTCAAGCAACATTGAACCGCTCATACATTTGGGAAAGCTGCGTTGTCTACCCACTCAAAACCAGTATGAGAATCCAAGACACTTGCACTGATGGAACAACAATCAGCAGAAATAAAGCATTTAACGACTGGTTATTAAAAATGGGCAATGGCACACTACCCGCCCAGAACAGAGAAGATGAAAATGACCCAACATGGATAGAGATACCTGAAGAACATTGTGTGATGCTAAAAACAGACCACACCTCAGACATAATCAGCCACACGTACCCAGACTTCAAGCTGAAGTGGAATACAGAATCCTACCTAAAAGAAAGAGCAATCTTGACCCCGTTAAATGACACTGCAGAGGAACTCAACCACCAAATATTCAAACAAGTACCTGGAGAAGAAAAGTCATACAAGAGCTGCGATGAGATTTGCAAGGCATCCCAGGATACAAACAATGTGGAAATAGGCTACCCAACCGAATTTCTCAACACACTAACATTCCCTGGAATGCCCCCTCACGTACTAACTCTCAAGGAAGGCATACCTGTGTTAATGCTTCGCAACATCAACCCCGGCCTTGGACTGTGCAATGGGACGAGATTGGTAATCCATCACTTGGGTCACCATGTAATACGTGCAAGAATAATAACTGGCAAGAACATTGGCACTGTAGTGGACATCCCAAGAATAATAATAACCTCCAACGATGCAAAATACCCTTTCGTCCTAAAGAGAAGACAATGTCCCCTGCGGATATGCTACGCCATGACAATAAATAAAAGTCAAGGTCAATCCTTGAATCATGTGGGAATCTACCTCCCCAATCCTGTGTTCACTCATGGCCAACTTTACGTAGCTGCATCAAGAGTTACCCACCCCCAAGGACTTCACTTTATGATAAAAGAAAAAGACCCCCTATACACACACCACACTCGCAATATAGTTTACAAGGAGGTCTTCAACAATATTACCCAGGTACACTACATAAACTCCACTTTCAAAAAACAACCATAGACAATAAACAAAAAAGGTGACTGATAAGTTCCTTCTCCTACAGGAAAAAGACAATACAAGTCAAACACTGCAGAATGACAACATCCCTAAATGAAGCATACATTTATGGAAATCAATTAATGAGGTACAAAGCCAACAACCCATTATATACCATCGACTAATACATAACATACGAGTTATGCCCTCCTAAAACATTTATAAAAACTTATTAATACAAACGTAAATACATAGACACATATACTGCCCCCATTTATTTCAATATATTCTATTACTTTGGATATAATACATATGTGGATACATATACAAGACTCACTACGATTCTTTCAAACAATTAACAGAATCACTGTTTTGAATGCCTTCAAACTTTTACAACGTAACTATACTACATCCTTACCCCAACAAAATACCAACAGGACACATTCCCTCTTAATATATGCAAAAAACATATTTCCCCAATTGTCATACGTGACGGGGCACTCTTGCAGTCTTTACGAAGCAATGGCAATACTGGACCAGAAACTATGCTTGGTGCTGAAAGGAATGCTGCTATTTTGAGACCAAAAGCGGGTGCAAACGATCCATGTGCAATTCCTTCAAAATGTCACATATCTGCTGCACTTCAGTCTACTGCAGGTGAGACCTTTCCTTCTATATGTCGCATATTTGCTGCACTTTAAGATTACAAATATTATCAAATGACAATGTAACTTAATCTCATCTATTCTACACTCTTTCTGAAATTTTCATACTGGTGTATTTTTGGAAGAAAGTATTTGTTATACAAAAAAAACACTTATGCATTTAACATAATCAAAAAACAAATAAAGCAGAATCTTATTTAAAAAAAACAACACCATGCATATCACTTCCTTTTGTCTTCCTCATCAATTTTGAAAAATTATTCCTAATGCATCACATGTTATTCAAAAAATAAAAATACTTCCCTAAAAAAACTCCATTTATTAATATGCTCATTTCATAACAATGTGGGATTTCTTTTAACATGGTACTTTGGCATTAATTTTAAAACTTATGAACCCTTATTTTATTTTTAATTCTGTTCATCTCTCATAATGTCTGTGCTTCCTCACCCTTATCGCCACATCGATCTATTATGATGTTTGTTTACTCTTCAGGTTCACAAGATAACTAACAAGAGACAAGAAAATTTTACTACATGATTCAAATGACAAAGAAACTTAATCTCATCTCTTATGTACTCTTTCTTAAATTTTCTAAATGCTGTATTTTTTGAAGAAACTCTTTGTTATACTACAAAACCCACTTAAAACAACACAAATATCTCAAAGTAAAAAAAAACGCCCTAGCTCACATCCTTATGTTTTTCAGCATCATTCTTAATCTGGCCTATGTATTTCTTTGTTCTAATTCCCAAACATCTGTTGCAACACTATTCAGGTATCAAAAACTTTGCTAATGGAGCCTCTTGACATGGACATTTATTTATAAAAGTAATGCTTGAAGCCATATAATAAAAAAAAATTGATCATAGCAACCACCTTGGTTACCTTTAACGGTGGTTTCTTTAATGCCCAAATCCGTTGGAACATCATTCTGTAATAATACATTGACTTTATTCACCTCAAACACGGTTTTAATTTTACTTTGCTCTTTAGCTTAGGTTCTTTTTTATTACGACTTAAACTATTAAGACATATTCAAAAGCCATAGTATTTGACTAATTCATCACGGAAAATTTGTCTTCGTTTCTTCACCTCAACCCATTTGTCCTCTTAAGACTTACGTCTTGAATAGTATTACGAGTATATATATTCTGACAAACAATTATACTTCTTAATTCCATGCAACAAACACATGGATACATCCCCAGCCCGTGCGAAGCACGGGGACAACAACTAGTATAGGTACATTAAAGATGGGTAGAATTTGGGATTTGGGCTATTACCACTACGGGTAGGATTAGGTTATTATATATATTAATAAAATCTTTATATTTCTTTATTGAACTGTAATGTCTATTTTACTCACCACGTTTTATACAAATGTCCAAATTTAACAAATTATATATCGTTGGTCACCATTTTACGAGATCTACCCGAAAACCCAATTTTCATATAAAACGGATAACTTTACCAATAATTCATATTTTAGAGTAAATAAATTTAACATTTATTTTTATTAAAATAACGGCTAACTACTAAGCCGGGTTTTGGGTCATTACAAGATCGGTGCACGGTTCTAGCCGATCACACCGACCGCCAGCAACCGAACGGCTTCCTCGCCAGAGAAGAGAGCCTGATCGGAGGACAGAAAAGACACGACGCCGGCCTAGGGTTTGGCCGTAAATGACGTCGGAGAACAGGGACGTGCGAGAGGCCTAGGGTTTAGGCTCTGATACCATGTAGAAAGTTTAGCACAACTCAACTGCTTTTCCATTGATCATAAACCGATATGTATACAAGTACATAAATGGGCTACAAGTACAGGCCCAATAACACAAAATCTACATCTAATTACAAATATCCACTAACAAGCTCAGCGGGAAGGGGGTGACGACAATCATTGGAGGGGGAGACTCTGTTGCAGCGGTCGAGAAGGTTGGGCTTGTAGAAAAGATGAGCCATATCTCTACCGGAAGCGGTGCTAGCCTTGAGCTACTCGAGGGGAAAATGCTACCCGGTGTTCTTGCACTTGATGATGCTTAATTGAGAGCACCTGGGGTTTCGTTTCTCTCATTTTCATTACTTTTTCTTGGCTTTCTCCTTTTGGTTTTTTACCCACCAGAGGTGAGTAGTATTAGGCTCTCTAAGAAAGTAAAAGTGGTTTAATGTTTGAATAAACTTTGTAGCTAGTTTTTTGGCTTCATTTTTCAAGACATGTGGCTTATGCATATCACACATCTGGTGTTTTTATACTCCAAAAAAAACGGTTCTGATTCTGGGAGCTCTGGGAGTGACTCGGTTGCAGATGATGCACAATCTTGATTCCATACTTTTTTGTCCATCTCTGTTATCTCTAAAGTGTAGCCTAATCTCTGTAATGATGAGGTATATAAAAATCAGTGTTCTTTTTTCTTTTTTTCGCTTTCTTTCTCCATTTGTAGTTTTAGAAGTGAAGATTGTTGAGAGATTCCCAGCTTGTGTGTGCCAATGGGGAAGAAGAAGATGCAAACAGAGTAGTCTTTGTAATGGCATTGATTTGTAGAAAAAAAATTCTTGTATGCTTATGGCAGTGTTGGACATGCTTCAGCCCTAGGAGCCACTATGGATATCCTCTTGATCATACTGCAATGGTATTTAACTTCTGGGTATACTTCCCTTTATTGGGAAGCAGATTTTAAGGAGATGCTACAGCTCCTTTCTATCCCACTTTTTACTGTGGACCATATCAGTAGGTTGGCCTTTTTACTTTCATGCTGCAGTTCTTCTGCTGATTTTTGTGATGGTCATACTAATCGTGTTACTAATTATCTGGTCCAATGGTGTTGTAATCACCTTCATTCTAGTATGGATTTTTTAGGTATTTTTGATTACCTGCACAATGTCAGCTCCTTTGTCAACATGATATTCAGCAGGTTCATAACTGTTCAGCTTCTAGCTCATGCTAACCTGAGCCTCTTATTGGCATGTAGTTGTGTTGCCATTTCCTGGTTAGGCAGTCCTTTCTACCTTTCTACCTGAGGGTATGGAGAACTTTGATCTTGGGTGCGCTCATTTTCCTTTTCCTACTTTCTAGGGGATTGTGTTTGCGTTGTTTGAAGATTTTTTTAAACCATTATTGGTTATACTGGGGTTATGGAGAAGTTTGGATATTATGGGTGTGCTTATAATATCTTTTCCTAGCCTTGGTATGTATGGTTTGTGGAGTAAGGAGTGGTTGACTCGGATGGGTTTTTATTCCTCCCGTTGGAGATGATTACCACTCCTTTGTGTTGCCATGCCTCTCCGTATGACCATTATTGTCTTAGTGCGGTTATGCTCGTGTTGGCCTGGTGTGAGTTTGGATTGTCGTGTTGGTTTGATGTTTTAGACTTTTTTGTGGCTTTGGTCAAGCCCTAGACTATTATGTTGTTTGTTTTGATCTTATTGTGGCCTTGATCAAGCCTTAGTTAGCTTGTTTGTTGTTTAGACCTTATTGTGGCCTTGGTCAAGCCGTTCTAGGTTCCCTTACCCCCCTTATTTGTTATTGTATCCCCGGAAGGTTTGTCTTCTGTATGAGGGGCTGGCGTTTGGCCTTGGTATAGTCCTCCCCTCACTTTGTGGCTCCCTACTATCTTAATAAAACTCGGTAAGGGTTGCCTAGACCTTACCCCACCAGACTTGGTGGTTTGCCACTGGGATTTAAAAAAAAGCACAAAGGCACGTAAAATATTTATTATTAGAATATCAAATTCTTCCTTATCATGTTTAAAGTAAGTCAGGCCATTTTATTAATGGAAATATTCTTGCTTATTAATTTGCAACGATTAAGAACTCATTATCAGTGTATTAATGGAAATAATAAAAAATATTTACTATTGAGAACAATTAAATAATGGAAATATTTTTTCTTACTAATTTCTGGAAGTATATAAACATTTCCACATATAATTCTTTTTAATTATTAAAATTCTTTTTGGAGGTAAATCGATATTTTCATATATAATATGATTGGTAATTAATATTATGAATCCATATCCATACTTTATTTAAAAAGAGGGGAAATCCTCTTTGTGTTTTCCCTCCCAATAGTGTTAGGCATTAAATTTTGTAATTGTGAAGTTTAATTGGCAATCCTTTAATATAATAAAGGAGACTCGGATGCATAGAAATTCGACATTTGGCATGTCTATGTGGCAAAATTTAAACACGTCAGCACGCCAGCGGAAATCCTTTAATATAATATTTCAGACTCGGATCACCAGAGCTTGATATGTGGAATGCTTATGTGGAGTTTTTTGACACGTCAATGATGACTGTATGCATTAATTGAATCTATAATCATTCATAAAAAAGTCTTCAGATATAGTATTTTTGAATAATCATTGACCATTTTAAACAAATAATTTATGGTAACTTTTAAAACTTGATATTTATATATTTGATAAGTTTGCACTAATATATTTGATATTACTAAGTAAAGTTTCAAAATAATTCTTTCTATTAATGTATTTTTCCAAATCAGTTTAGAATTCTCACTACGCAATAATTATGTACGTAGTCTTTTCTAATTTAATATTTTCCAAAATGGTCTTTTCTTATCACATGAGTGATTTTAACTCTAAATGAAGTTATATAGGTTGCGATATATTTTATTTTTCTATATCAATATTTTTTTAGATTCTTCAAGTTCATGGATTATTTTAACATCAAAAATCGATTATAAATAGACTGAAATAAATAAAATTATAAAACACAAAAAAATATCATGACTTCAAACAAAAGAGTTTAAAAACGCATGGATAAAATAGATTCAATTAGTAAAAAAATAAAATAAATTTATTTTCAAAAAAAATTTATATTCACATTTGATATGTTTCACAAAAAAACTTATTTCCTTCAAAATTAAAAAAATCACTTTTATTTTACAACTAAACTTTACTGGAATTGTCAAACGATTGTATTTTAAAAATGTAAAAGATGAATTATAATTACAATTTTTTCACATAAAAATGTATAGCTAAATTCAAATTTTATGACTTAGATATCCTTCATATATAAAAATAAGATTTAAATCTCTAGAAAGTCGACATGTTGTATATATTATTTATGTGGCGTTTTTTGAAACTCAATATTCCACACAATTTGTGACGTGGAAAATAGTAAAGTAATAGTTTGGTTTGAAATCAATGAATAAATTTATTATGGAAAAAAATATCTTCATGTATATGATAATATTCTTTCCTAATTTATGTTTTTTCTCTTCATTTATAACAAAATTTCAAAATAATAGATTAGTTACTCTCTTCACCTCTTAATAAATTTCATATTTCTTTATGAGATGTTTAATTGGAGTTATTTTTGATTTTATAATTTAAATATTGATGTAAAATTTAAAAATTAAAATATTTTTAAAACTATAATAAAATTTAACTCACTGTGTCTCAAAATAATTTACCTCTTTCTCATTGCAACTTCTTGATAACTTTTGTTAGTTTCCATGTTTTCATTGATCATTTGATGAAATAAAACATTTTTTCACCTCTCACCTCGTATTTTATAAAACTTTTGATATAGTTTTTAAATATTTAATTGTTTATTTTATATACGAATTTATAAACAAAATCATTGTAAAATTTACGAGATTTTGCACGTTGCTCGAATAGGAAATACATTTTGGAACAGAGAAAGTATAAAATAAGGGATGATTGAACTATAAAAGTGTTAAATAGAGAAAATAATACTATATAAAATTTGATTATTTGATTGAGTATATAAAAATAGAGAAAACAATACATTATGTTTAACTATTTATCAGTATATGATAATAATTTTATTTATATTATTGAATACAATTTAGAAACAAATGTGTCACCATGACTTCTTATGTTTACACAAGCATTCTTTACTGTTTCACCATCATTGACAAATTTTAAATATGGAATAGAGATCTTCATTTTTATAAGAGTATTCTTTCTTAATATTATATTTTTCTACTTCATTTATAATAATACTTTGAGTAAGTTTCATATTTTTTATGATACTAGTATTTAACCCGTGCCACGCACGTCGCACGGGGTCCAACACATGTTATTTTTAATTCTGCTAATTTTTTGTTTTAAGTAAATAGTTATAAAATAAAGGTAAATATAATAAGAATGTTAGATACGACATAAATAGAATCATAAAACAGTTTTTGCATGTGATAAATGCAAAATAATGGTGTCACTGGCGGATCTACTTAGGATGTAGGGGGGCAATTGCCCCCAGTGAAGTATATACTTGCTATGTAAAAAAATTTATTTTATTGTTAAAATTTTATAGGAATGGCCAGCTTGCCCCCATTCAATTTTGGAAAAATTACCATTGCCCCCAACCTAAACTAAAAGACTACCTTGTAATAGAATCAATAGCATTCAAAAAAAAACTAAAAGACTAAATGAATGAAGACAAAAATTTACCAAAGCAAATGCCAAAAAAAATTCCAAATGCAATAAATACTAAATGTTACAAATAATTCTTTTCTAGATAGATTTCAAATGACCCCGCTACGTTTCTTCTTCTCACTGAGGGCAAAAAATAGAATAGACCTCTTCTCTAATTATCACTCTTCAATTGTTGTGTCGTGCCGCCGTCCTTAAATCACGAAGATAAGCTGCTGCAATCGTTTTGTCTTGTTACTTCTTTTTTCTTATGAAGTTATCATGTATTTGTTTAATTTTTATTTTTATAGAATTTTTGCACTTTTAGTCTAAAGTTTATTTTATGTATAGTGTGTTTCTTTGTTAACAATTGTTTACAAGTGCTTATATGATGTGCCTTGGTTGCATTCTTTTTTTATATACCTTCTAACATAAAAACCATTTTTTATTTTTAATTGTTTATTAAAATAAATGCTCATATAGATAATTATGATTTACGGAGTATTTATTTACCTCATATGTAGATCCATGATGAACTTAAGATCCATCATAAAATTTGCCATGGTTGACAATTGAATTTGTTAGGGAATAGGATAGCACTTAGCTAGGAGTAAAGAAAGCAAAACATTGCAATAAATTGTGTTTAAAAATTTAGGACTCTGTTGTAATTTTAAAAAGCCTATTTTGTAAAATTGTGGTTTAAAAAAGGATAAAATAGTGTAATGACTTATATATACAAAGTGTTTTTTAAAATTTTTTAATAGTTTACAAACGTAGATGTAATTGGTCATTTCCAACAAATGAAAATTCCATTTAAAAAAAGAAAACTCGTAGAGAACAATTATAGAATGCATGTATGTTTGTTTTAGTTTAATAATGTAGTTTTTTTATTTTAATTTATAACCAAATCTGCCCCCAGTGAAAACAAATCCTAGATCCGCCACTGAATGGTGTAATGGTTTTTGCAAATTAGACTATGAGCTGAGCGAGCACAGAGTATTAATATGATTTAAACATACAGACGAAAAATCTGATTTGATTAGTTGTGTTCTAAATCTATTAAAGTGTAATCTATATTTTTCTTATCTAGGATTGATCTGGTTTGATATATTATCATTCTAGTAAAGGTTATAGTTGTTTATGATGTTATTCTAATAAGAATAAAGAGAAAATGTTCTAAGATGCAAAGTGTTATTTAATGACATGTATTAATTAGTGTTGGATAGTCATTGGGAAGTAATCGGGAAATAAACACAACTCTTCCAATATCAATACAAGAAGATTGGATCTTAGAACATTTATCTTAAAAAGGATTTTTTAAGCCAATCCATCCTTCGCGTACACGGGTAGTTGCCCACCTTGAAAAATATCATTCTTGTAAGGCTAACATTTGTAGTTTTGCTGGCAATGAAGCACTTTTTAACCTGCCCAAACTACTTCCACATCCTAAGTCTTCCAATTAGAATATCCTTTGGCAGAGTCACGTTCCCATGTAATCCGACGTATTTTACCGTTCTAGTTACAAGAGATAGTGACTGCACTAACTCAAACCTTAGTTTTACGGATACTAAAGTAAGAAGGGTAACTCTATCTTAATCAAAGGGAAGACGGAGTATACAAATATTTCGTCTTTTCCTTACCTTACTAAAATGTTAACTGTGCTTAAATATTCAAGGGAAGTCACTTTCATAAATCAATATCACATAGACATTTTACATATCACGCTTTTAGAAACTTGAGTCTCAAATCATACCAAGACTGTATTAATATCAATATTTGTTTTAATTCCATGCTTCGTACGATCTTGTATACTTTTTTATAAAATATATTAATAAATTTGAATTCTACTCATATACTATGAGTATAAGATGTATACCCTCCATGCATTCCGTAGGTTTAATCTGATCATTTTTTTAAATCCGATCTGGTTGATCTGACTAAAATTATATTTAAAGCAATATCTTATTTGGTATGATCTGGTTTGATCTAAATGGAATGGAACACAGCCTAAAGAGTTCATCTCACAAATCACTTATAGTAATAATAATAATAAGAGTAAATTCTATAATTGGTCCTTTATAACAAGGGGTTTCCTTATTTAGTCCCCTATTATCAAATATTACAACAGTGGTCCTTCTTTTATGGGTATCTTTGCAGAAATAGTCCTTTTTTTGATCTTCAATCATGTTGGTGTAAATTTGAGGGTTAAAAGTGTAATTTCACAATGATAATATATCATTTTTGTCATACACAATTCCAAAGGTTGTTCCATTTGCATCGTTTGTGAATTACAGTCGCTTTTTACTACAATCATAGTTTACAAATGTGGACTTTTTTTCAGAATCCTAGCCACAATTATATTCATTATTTTTGTGTTATCCGCTTAACCAATATCAGAACACGTTAGTAGACAAAATGTTGATGTCAAATTATACTTTTAGCCTTTAAATTAACACCAACATGACAGAAGATCAAAAAGGACCATTTGTGGAAAGGCACCCTTAAAAAAAGACTTCGGGGGTAATATTTGATAATATATGACTAAATATGGGAACCCCCATGTTATAATATGTTATAATGGACCAATCATGGAATTTATTCTAATAATAACATTGATAATATTTGGGGAATATCATAAGAAGGTAGATGAGTCTTACATAAATACCGATTCAAAACAACCAACAAAGGGTATGATAGTGGATTTGGAATAGGAAAAGAGGTATTTTGTATAATTAAATTACCTAAAGTGCAAAGTGTAGAGATCCAGGAGGATGGTTATTGCTGAGATACGAACATAGACCTGTATCCTTTAATTCAACTATAACAGCTTCTATACTCATTAAACGAATATATGGATTCAAAGACTAATTGCTCTAGGTTCTTCTATGTATCCTACTCCAAGCAAGACAATAATTGAAGCATTGTCATGTGTTAAGCAAGAACTTAGCAAGGCTATGCATAAATTTACAAATGCTCTTGTGCAATGTAATGTTGGGTAACCTAGTACGAAGATAGTTTGCACTGCATCTTCATTTGAGACTCTTTCCAAATATATGGAGATGTAAAGATCAGGTAGGGTCTCTCCTCGATAGCCAAGACTCAAATGTTTAAAAAATTCTACCAAATCTATTGCCTAATAATATCTCAATATAAAGAAAGGGAAGCATAGGACAATACTTCAAGTGAAAAGGCAAAAAAAACTTCAAACCTAGATATTTTTAGGGGAGATATTGTAACATCTCCATCGATCACTAAATCCAAGTGAATCCATAGCTCTGCTTAGTTCCTCTTGCCACAGAAACATAGATGGGGGAAATACAAAACATAAAATTAGGCATGTAATCTCGCACTTAATCAAGCCACAGTTACTAATCAAAGAATTTACAAAAAAAATTGGGAAGATCGAGAGCCCAAAATATGTAATAGGTATTGAATTTGATAGCTCAAAATCTGTATACACGAATATATGAATTAAATGTAGAATTGCACATAAAATTTGGAAAAAAAGCTTGAATCTCGAATTGACGCTGAAGAATATGCAGGGGTCCTGACCTCAATATTTACAACTTTGTTTCTTCATAATTTTTAAGACTATCAACCATAAAATTATATAAAACTATGAAATTTTGTTGACATTATAATTGCACAAAAATGGGAGAATAAAAAAAAGGAGTAAAATATCAAGAAAGAACACTTATAACACGTGGAAATATCACCAAAAGGCTGGAGATCTAAATTCTAAACTCTATTGTGCCTACATTTTTCTTTTTGAAGTGATGAAAACATTTTGATGTTTATGGTGCTGATTTAAAGAGGCTAAGACAAAATGAAATAAAAGAAGGATATGAAGCTAACCAGAAGAAGGAAACAAACCTAGCCTGATCGAAAAGCATGGGGTTACCCTAAAACTGCAGAACTTGTGAACTAGAATCAAATTCAGGAATTGAAAGATAATGTATCGGAAACTAAGAAGAATACAAATTGAATTTCAATTTTATATAATTTTTAAAAACAAACCAATTTATAGGATTCTTGCACAGAAGAAAAATCTGATCAGAATCATGAATATAATTTCCAAGACATTCCACTGGTTACTCAATTGCTGAAGAAGTCCTGCGGTGACGAAATCAAGAGATCGAAAAAACCCACACGATCTCTCAATTTTGGCATGTTCTATAAAACCATACTTCCCTTTGGAAAAGAAGAGACTAAGTCATTAGCGAATAGATTTTCCACGTACAAAGCTTCTTCAATGAAACAATAGATATTCCCGTTGCAGATTATTCATGTTGTTTTCCAGAGACTAGCCTTCCTCTCAGCTATCTCAGCCATTCCTAGTTTATCAGGCCACTTGGGTTTTGATATGTCTTTCCTGAAAATCCATACCCAAATAAATAGAAATGTACATAGCCTTACTGTTGGGAAAGCAAGAACACAAACGAATGTGTAGTGCCCAAGATCAACACCTTTCCCTCTTGAATGAATCTATGAGGAGCAACAAACAAACACACCAAAGAACACCAAGCAACAAGATAATCCAAACACAAGAAATAAAACGATACGAGGCACGAGATTTTAACGTGGAAAAACATTTCAATGTGAAAGAGTAAAAAAACCACGAGACCCTTTGGTCTAACCAACTCCACTACCACCAAATTGAGAGTACAAATGCACAATATAACAGCACCACAATGATATCTAGCCCTTAACAACACTACGAAGGCGCTAGAATCGAAATAGATGAACAAAAGTGCAAGAAATCACCAAAAAACTGCAGCTGGTACGAAGCTCATAACTTGAGATTGAACATTTGAAATTCGATCTCCACCGTTCAGATTGAAGCTCCACGAGTCCTTAGACTCCTCCTAAAATTTCAGCTCGATCGGACAAGATTTGGACCTCCGATCGACCAAAAAACCAGGTCTGCGTTTTTCTGAAAATGGCAGCGGCTATCTGCTGTTTTCCTCCCTTTTCTTGCGGCTGTTTTTCCTCTCTTTTTTTGTGCGTGAATAATTGTTTTTCAACCAGCTGTACTCCTCAAATTAGACCCTTAATTTTCATCAAAAGTGGACTAAATATTGGGCTTGAGTATTACACTCCAAATGGGCTTTTAAAACACATAGTTGGGAGCCCAAACCCAACAAATCTCCTCCCTCCCGACTATGTGGAGGTGGTTGCCAAACCGGCAATCAAACAACAAGTTTCAAACTTCCCCTTTGGCAAAGCCTTAGTCATCATATCAGAACCATTATCATCTGTGTGAATCTTTTCAAACTCCAATAACTTGAGATCAAGCACATCTCGAATCCAATGGTAACGTACATCAACATGTTTAGATTTGCCATGGAAAGTAGGATTTTTGCTAAGATGTATAGCACTCTCACTGTCACAATATAAGACATACCTCTTCTGAATAACACCAAGTTCACGAAGATATTTCTTCATCCAAAGCAGCTCTTTACAAGCTTCTGTAGCTGCAATGAACTCGGCCTCTGTTGTGGACAACACAACACATTTCTGAAGCTTAGATTGCCATGAAACAGCTCCCCCTGCAAAGGTAACCAAATAACCAGATGTAGACTTCCTGGTATCAATATCTCCAGCCATATCAGAATCTGTATAAACATTCAAAACAGGTTTTCCAGTTCCAAAACAAAGTTTCAAACTGGATGTGCCTCGGAGATATCTCATAATCCACTTCACTGCATTCCAATGCTCCTTGCCTGGATTAGAAAGGAAGCGGCTAACTGTACCAACTGCATGTGCTAAATCAGGCCTTGTGCAAACCATTGCATACATCAAACTTCCTACTACAGTTGCATAAGGAATACGTCGCATCTCTGCCTTCTCAGCATCATTAGATGGGGACTGTCTAGAGCTAAGCTTAAAGTGTGTAGCAAGAGGTGTGCTCACCACTTTAGCCTTTTCCATATGAAATCGTTGAAGCACCTTTTCAATGTACTTCTCCTGAGACAACCATAGCTTTCTTGCCTCTCTGTCACGTGTAATCTGCATGCCAAGAATCTGTTTTGCTGGTCCTAAGTCCTTTATTGCAAAGGACTTACTAAGCTCTGTTTTCAATTCTGCAATTCTCGAAGAAGTATGACCAACAATAAGCATATCATCAACATAAAGCAACAAAATAATGAAGTCATTATCAGAGAACTTCTGCACAAAAGCACAATAATCAGAAGTAGTTTTCTTATATCCTTGCTGGATAATCACAAACTCAAACTTCTTATACCATTGCCTTGGAGCTTGTTTCAAGCCATACAAGCTCTTTTTCAACTTGCAAACATAGTTCTCTTTGCCGAAGTGGTGTTTCGGAAGGCCAACGAGGTATATTTAAAGGAAGGGGTTTAGTGGTACTTCCTTACGACAAAACTGTAGGTAGACAAGTTGAAGGTTCAGTTCCGACCGACGTTCTGGGTTTTGTTGAGCTTAGCTTCTGTAGGAGTGTTGACCTCTTTTATAAAGGAGTATCAGTTATGGGAAAAAGACTGACAAGCCTATAACCACTAGTCTAGCCTTGTATCGTGGAGACGAAGCACCCTGTTCATTCTTCAACTTAAAGATCCACCAATTCTTCAAAGCTTTTCTGTCTTTGGGCAACTTGACTAGCTCAAAAGTATGATTATCAGGCAATGATTTCATTTCATCATTCATTGCCTCAACCCATTTCTCCTTATCCTCGTTCTCCATAGCCTCTTCATATCACTCAGGTTCTCCCCCAACAGTAAGGAGCACATACTCATTAGTAGAATAACGAGTAGAGGGAATTCTTTCCCTTGTAGACCTCCTGAGAGCAACTGTAGGTGAATTGTTATCAACATGAGGTTGATTATGTACCTCATTTGATTCTTCTTCACTATTACCATCGGCAAAATCATGTGGGACATGATTGTTATCATCATTCTGATCTCCATTGGTAGCATTAGGCGTCTGAGCCACGGGAGTTGGATTCAAATCAACAAGATCATCATAATTTTGAGACTCTGACTTCTCCATCTTCTGAATATCTTCAATATTCTGATCCTCCATAAAGATAACATCACGGCTTCTGACAAGCTTCTTCTCAACAGGATCATAAAGTCTATAGCCAAATTCATCATGACAATAGTCAACAAAGATGCACTGCCTCGTCTTGACATCTAATTTGGATCTCTCGTCCTTTGGAACATGTAAAAGATTTAGACAAACGTGCTTCTGAAAGTAAACATCTAACTCTCTCCACCAATGTTCTGTTCATCCTTTCTGCAAGGCCATTGAGCTGTGGAGTTTTGGGAGGCGTCTTCTGATGTCTGATGCCCTGTTGCCTGCAATACTCATCAAACGGGCCAACGTATTCACCACCATTGTCTGTGCGAATATACTTCAACTTCTTTCTTTTTTCTCTCTCAACGGAAGCATGAAAATGTTTAAAGACCCCAAGAACTTGGTCTTTTTACCTCAAGGCATACACCCATAGTTTCCTTGAGCAATCATCAATGAATATCACAAAGTAACGTGCACCACCATGCGTCTTTGTCTTCATAGGACCACAAACATCTGAATGTACCAATTCAAGCAACTCTGATTTTTTGAAAGATGGACGACTCTTGAAGGACACCCTGTTCTGTTTCCCAGCCAAGCAATGACTGCACCTTTTTAAATTTGCATCCTTCACTCCTGACAGAACATTCTTCTTGGCTAAACAATCAAGACCCTTCTCGCTGATGTGACTGAGTCTTCTATGCCATAATTCTGAAGAACTATCACTCTCGATTGCATTGACAGAATCAACAAAGACTGAAGCATTGGTCCAGTATAAACCTGAACACTTCTTCCCACGAGCCACAATAAGAGAACCCTTAGTGATTTTGCATTGCCCATCACCAAAGGTACTCACATAACCTTCATCATCCAAGACACTGGTAGATATTAGATTCAAGCAAATATCTGGTGCATGTCTCACGTTCTTCAACACTAACTTCATCCGAGTTTTGGTTTCTAGGACAACAACTCCAATGCCAATAACCTGTGAACGACCATCATTACCCATCTTCAATACACCATAATCACCTGGAGTATAAGATGTGAAGAAATCTTTCCTTGACGTCACATGGAAAGCGGCACCACTATCGATAACCCAACTTGATTCATCAGAGGCAACATTAATCAAGTCGTTATCAGAAACAACTATCAGATCACATGAAGTCGTGGCTGCAACATGACGATCATTTTCACCATCTTTCCCTTCTGGCTTGTTCTTGTCTTTGTTCTTCAGCTTGAAGCAATTTTTCATCAAATGCCCCTTTTTATGACAATAATGGCACTCAACATTTTGGTATTTTGATCTGGACTTGCTCTTGCTCTTGCCCTTTTTGAATTCTCCATGATCTCTGTTTTTACTTCTCCCCCTATTTTCAGTAACCAAGACATCTGATTTTGAAGTAGATGTCTCATGAGTTCTACGTCTCACTTCTTCATTCAGAACGGCAGCTTTGACATAATCCATAGTTACTGTACCACCGGGAGCAGAACTAATCAAAGACACACGAAGATTTTCCCAAGAATCAGGCAAAGTATTCAGCAACCAAAGTCCCAAAATCTCATCCTCGAACTTTACGCCCATGTTTGACAACTGATCAAAACACCCTTGAAATTCATTCAAGTGGTCAGAAATAGAAGAACCTTCCTTGAATCTAAGATTCATAGCTTGCCTGAGCAAATACAGCTTGTTATTCCCAGTTTTTGATGCATACAAGGATTCAAGCTTGTCCCACAAAGATCTAGCATGAGATTCATTGTAGATGTGATTCAGAACATTATCATCTACCCACTGACGAATGAAACCACAAACCATTTCATGTTCAAAAGCCCACTCTTCATCACTTTTTGACTCTGGCTTCTGAGTAGAAAACACTGGTAGATGCAGCTTTTTCACAAAGAGTAAATCCTTCATTTTACCCTTCCACTTGTGATAATTTGTGCCATTCAAACTGATCATCCTGCTGTAATTTGGCTCCATCATTCAATCAAGACAAATAACAGATTACTCCAGCGCTCTGATTCCACTTGTTGGGAAAGCAAGAACACAAACGAATGTGTAGTGCCCAAGATCAACACCTTTCCCTCTTGAATGAATCTATGAGGAGCAACAAACAAACACACTAAAGAACACCAAGCAACAAGATAATCCAAACACAAGAAATAAAACGATACGAGGCACGAGATTTTAACGTGGAAAACCCTTTCAATGTGAAAGAGTAAAAAAACCACGAGACCCTTTGGTCTAACCAACTCCACAACCACCAAACTGAGAGTACAAATGCACAATATAACAGAACCACAATGATATCTAGCCTTAACAACACTACGAAGGCGCTAGAATCGAAATAGATGAACAAAAGTGCAAGAAATCACCAAAAAACTGCAGCTGGTGCGAAGCTCATAACTTGAGATTGAACCATTGAAATTCGATCTCTACCGTTCAGATTGAAGCTCCACAAGTCCTTAGACTCCTCCTAAAATTTCAGCTCGATCGGACAAGATTTGGACCTCCGATCGACCAAAAAATCAGTCTGCGTTTTTCTGAAAATGGCAGCAGCTATCTGCTGTTTTCCTCCCTTTTCTTGCGGCTGTTTTTCCTCTCTTTTTTTTGTGCGTGAATAATTGTTTTTCAACCAGCTGTACTCCTCAAATTAGACCCTTAATTTTCATCAGACTAAATATTGGGCTTGAGTATTACACTCCAAATGGGCTTTTAAAACACATAGTTGGGAGCCCAAACCTAACACTTACTCTGTAAAAACAGAGATAAATACAGAACCAGCGCTCGAAATTTATTAGCTACGCATAAAATGAGAAGAAAGCAAAAGGAAACATGTGACTATGCACAAGTTGCAACCTTTATTTAGCTTCACAAATCATATGTATATATTACTCCGTATATATAAAGTGGAGCGGATTAATTGTGGTTGCGCCATGTGTCATATATGCCATGTAGGAGTGTCACGCCAGGTGTAGCCACATGATACGAATCTTGTACGATTCGTATCGGGATAGGGAAGAACTTCGAGCGTCTTCGGGCTCCAAGAAAGGGAGGCAAAGAGAAAAGGAAAACTTCGAGCGTTTCCGGGCTCCAGAGAAAAGAGAAAGGACTAGGGTTTTTGATATTTCTTATTGCTTGAGTAACTATGAGAAATGAGTACAATATATAGAGTAATGCAGCAACACCAACTCACCTAATGGGCTTAGGCCCGTACTAAAACCCTAATATATAAAATACTGATAAATAATACTCCGTAATAATTAACTACTAAATAATAATATAACTAATTAAAGTGTTCCAAATAACTATCCGTATCATTCCCACCCCCTTAAAATCCACCTTGTCCTCAAGGTGGAGGCTCCCACTCGTGCTTTAGGACCGGAGAAAGAATGTTGAACCAAAGGAGCAATCCACTCTTTGAACCTTCGACCATCTTGGATCTTGGAGCAAACTGATGGAAAGATGAGACGGGGCGCAGAACATATGTAGTTGCTCTTGGTGAAACCAGGTGCTCCGTCTTGACCACATCGACAAGCTCAAACAACTTGATGGTGTCAATCAAAATAGGTGAGCATGCTTGCTTAGCATCTGGTTTGTCAACATTAGCCACATCTTCTGCAAGAGGACCTTCATTTTTGTCCACAACGTTGAACATCACGTCATCTTTGTTTATTGCTTCAGGTCCGATGTCCACTTCATCTCCAACTTGTGAGTCAATGCTTGATTCCTCCTTGGATGCGTGGTCCTGTGCTTCAGCGTTTTGCTCAATTACTGTAGAGATCACATTTGGTACATATGGCGGAGTGTCAATGAGAATTTTCATAGCACCCAACATGTTTGTTCTGAAGTTCCGTAACTCCAACGGAATCAAATTTGGCAAAATTGGGGGCCCACGAACTAAATCCTGTACCGAGCAAAAAATTTCTACGTCGAGCGCATCATAATCAATTTTCCCATTAAAATTATGGATTGACCTGAACTTCATACTGATCTCGTACACATGATCAAAAATCATACACACTCCTTCATCATGCTCAATTTCTCCATAAAGAACTTTTTCCAGCAAATCAATGAGTTTGTCAAATGCAGAGTCCATTATCAAATAAGCACCACCACACAAATATATATCACCAAAAAAAATACCTCAAATCTTGCCACTGTTGGTACCAATCTGATGTGTTTTGTTTTTGGCAATAACTCTAGGATAGAATCTATTTGCAATTGTTTAATTTCCAAAAGTAAAATTGATGGGCTGGGTGGGCAACCGATGATGGAGAGGCAAAGCAATTGGATTCTGCAATTTTTTTCCGGAAACAGCTACTTACTGATCAAAGTCAACAACGGCAAATCCGCTACGAATCCCGATGGAAAATAATTCTGGGACAGCGTCGTGGTGGGTTGGGCCAAACCCTAGATGTCGTCGGAAAATTCTGCCGCGCTAAATTAATCTGTACGACCGTCAAAAGGGCTTCAATTCTTCTTCTCTCACTCTTTTTTTTTGTAGATTTGCGCCGGCAGATCAAAGATAGAACAATGGAGATGACGGCGGCAAATAGGAGCAACAGATCTCTTTTTTTTTGTAATTTGCTCTCAATGAGAGCACCAATTGATACGAATCTTGTACGATTCGTATCGGGATAGGGAAGAACTTCGAGCGTCTTCGGGCTCCAAGAAAGGGAGGCAAAGAGAAAAGGAAAACTTCAAGCGTTTCCAGGCTCCAGAGAAAAGAGAAAGGATTAGGGTTTTTGATATTTCTTATTGCTTGAGTAACTATGAGAAATGAGTACAATATATAGAGTAATGCAGCAACACCAACTCACCTAATGGGCTTAGGCCCGTACTAAAACCCTAATCTATAAAATACTAATAAATAATACTCCGTAATAATTAACTACTAAATAATAATATAACTAATTAAAGTGTTCCAAATAACTATCCGTATCCCCACATAAGCTTTCTTTTAAAAAATATTATTGCACTAGTTGTTGTCCCCGTGCTTCGCACGGGCTGGAGATGTATGCATGTGTTTGTGCCATGGAATTAAGAAGTATAATTGTTTGTCACATTATCTATACTCGTAATACTATTCAAGACGTAAGTCTTAAGACGACAGATGGGTTGAGGTGAAGAAACCAAGTCAAATTTTCCGTGCTGAATCATTGAAATACTATGGCATTTCAATATGTCTTAATAGTTTTAGTCGTAATAAAAAAGAACCTAAGCTAAAGAGGAAAGTAAAATTAAAACCGTGTTTGAGGTGAATAAAGTCGATGTATTATTACAGAATGATGTTCCAACGTATTTGGGCATTAAAGAAACCACCGTTAAAGGTAGCCAAGGTGGTTGCTATGATCAAACTTTTTTTATTATATGGCTTCAAGCATTATTTGCATAAATAAATGTCCATGTCAAGAGGCGTTCATCTCCATTAGGAAAGTTTTTGATATGTGAATAGTGTTGCAACAGATGTTGGGGAAATAAAACAAAGAAATACAAAGGCCCAGATTAAGAATGATGCTGAATAACATAAGGATGTGAGCAAGGGGGTATTTTTATTTTGAGATATTTTTGTTGTCTTAAGTGGGTTTTTTTAGTATAACAAAGAGTTTCTTCAAAAAATACTGCATTTAGAAAATTTAAGAAAGAGTACATAAGAGATGAGATTAAGTTTCTTTGTCATTTGAATCATGAAGTAGTAAAATTCCTTTGTCTCTTGTCAGTTTAATGTTGTGTACCTGAAGAGTAAACAAACATCATAATAGATTGATGTGGCGATAAGGCTGAGGAAGCACAGACATTATAAGAGATGAACATAGTTAAAAATAAAATAAGGGTTTATAAGTGTTAAAAATAATGCCAAAGTTAATGTTAAAAGAATATCCATATTGTTCTAAAATGAGCTTATTAATAAATGCAGTTTTTTTTACGGCAGTATTATTATTTTTTGAATAACATGATGCATTAGAAATTTTTTTTCAAAATTCATCAGGAAGACAAAAGGAAGCGATATGCATGGTGTTGTATTTTAGTTTTTAAAAAAGATTCTGCTTTATTTGTTTTTTTGATTATGTTAAATGCATAAGTGTTTTTTTTTGTATAACAAATACTTTCTTCCAAAAATACACCAGTATGTAAATCTAAGAAAGAGTGCATAATAGATGAGATTAAGTTACATTGTCATTTTAAAATATTTGTAATCTTAAAGTGCAGCAAATATGTGACATATAGAAGGAAAGGTCTGACCTGAAGTTACATCTGATGTGACCTATCTAGACGGTTGTTTTGGTAATAAAGTGTGTGTTTTATGTGCATAAAAGGAAAGGTCTCACCTGCAGTAGACTGAAGTGCAGCAGATATGTGACATTTTAAAGGAATTGCACATGGATCCTTTGTACCAGCTTTTGGTGTCAAAATAGCAGCATTCCTTTCAGCACCAAGCACAGTTTCTGGTCCAGTATAGGCTTTGTTTCGTAAAGACTGCAAGAGTTCCCCATCACGTATGACAATTGGGGAAATTTTTTTTTTTGCATATATTAAGATCGAATGTTCTGTCGGTATTTTGTTAAGGTAAGGAGGTTGTATAGTTTCGTAGTAAAAGTTTGAAGGCTTTCAAAACAATGATTCTGTTAATTGTTTGGAAGAATCATAGTGAGTTTTGTATTTGTATTCACGTATGTATTATATCCAAAGTAATAGAATATATTGAAATAAATGGCGGCAGTAGATGTGTCTATGTATTTACGTTTGTATTAATAAGTTTTTTAAAATGTTTTAGGGGGGCATAACTCGTATGTTTTGTATTAGTCGATGGTATATAGCGGGTTGTTGCACTTGTACCTCATTAATGGATTTCCATACATGTATGCCTCATTTAGTGATGTTGTCGTTCTGCAGTGTTGGAGAACATAACAGAAAAAGGACATCCTCTTCCTTGAATAGTCAGTGGAAAAAACAAATAACACATACCAACAA